AGTAAATTCTCATAAAAGGTTTTTTGCTCGAACAAATTCACTTCATTAATTATGCTCCCTCGAAATTATAGGCTCAACTAAAGCTACTGTATTTTGAGCAATCACCATAAAATAATATTAACAAAAGGAAATCCCCCACAACAGAGAGGAATTATAAACATGAGCAAACATGAAAAAGATGCCAAAACTTCATCTTATTCAATTTTTCCAACGCCACGTGAATATTTTTGACAAGTAATTAAAGCAGAAAATCCAATATTCGCTTACAGCAAGTCCAAAAGAGCTTTTTGTTGTTGGAGCTCAGGATACTTTTCATACCTGTAATGTAATTATCATGCAGTATAAAGGTTGGGTCCTACAGCCTGTGTCTACTGTAACTTTGCCTCTTATTGCAGTACTTTTGTCTAATGTATTCTTTTAATAGACATGCTTTTCTGTTCATTTGTATTATAATGATTTTATGATCATGATTCAGGGTGTGCAGAGAGAGATATTGATTTATCACAGACTCAAGTTAATATTTTAAAAGTACCATTTGAAAATATTGTTGAGTAATCATTTGGTCAATTCTGCCACTCATCAATATGTTTTTACTTTTTAAGCTAGTTAAATAAATAGTTACAAGTTGACTTACAATCTAGTTTATTTAATCAATACTTTTCTTTAACATTGACCCCATTTATTATCTCCATTTTTTTTGTTGCAAAATTTGCTGCCAATATAAACTTTTTTGCTTTACTTTCTAATTCTCTTGATTCTGATTGTTTCTATTTTATCGTTGTTGTGTGTATGTTGAACTTTTTTATGGAAGGACCGAGTAAGTGGGTGCTATTGGATTTAGAAGATGAGTGAAGGAAAAGTTGGTACTTTTAAGTACAGGTTGGGAAATTGGCAAATGATCCAAATGACAAAGGTCAACTTTTTCTTCCTTTTGTTCTCATACTATAAGAGTTGAAATATAAGTATATGTGTTTATTCAAATTATTCCACTTCATCACTGCACCAACACATTTGTTCTGTGTATTCATTCAGCAATCACTACACACTTATACTTCACATTCACCTCCAACTAAACCAACTAACGTGCACCCAACTAAATCAACTAACGTGCAACACACATTGCCACACTGGTAATACTATATGATTGAATCTATGACTATGCATTAAACATGCACTTAAGTCATAGTGGCATGACTGCGTAGTGTTGCATGAATAACTTGGCATCTTTTTGGACAGGGCATTACCAGACACGAGCTGTACTTGTGAACATGTTTGTAATTAAATGCGTGTCAGGCATCTATGACCTACTCATATGGTAGTGTGCTCTTAAATTCTAGCAGTGGCAAATGATTGAGGACATCGAATCCATTGGCAAAGTGGAGTGTAGTATGTGTATCTTTATTTGCATTTAAACTGTGGGGATGATAGGTAAATTATTGTGGAGTGTGAAATTATTAGAAGGGACAATTGGGGTACGTGGGTGTTCTCTGGATGCCAAACTTTTTCATCTTGTGGGGGTCCTACAATTTGACAAAAGGCGTCCATGT